ACACAGTGGGGGTAGGGGTACACAGTGGGGGGACACAGTGGGGGACACAGTGAGGGTAGGGGACACAGTGGGGGTAGCACAGCAAGGAGGGCATGGTGACTGAAGGAGAAAGTGGGGCACAGTGGGAGAGGGGGTCACAGTGTTAGTTTTTCAGATAGCTCTTCTCTCCTATTTTGCCCTCCCCAACCAAACCATAGTAAGATCGAGTAAAATGTGGCAAAACCTAGCGATTCGTTCTCAAGCGCCTCGCGTGCAATGTGGTCAAATTGCCCTCGTCGACATCACCCCCCCCCCTCCCCAGAGGGGTCCTGGATTGACGATTGACACTGCATTTTATTGCTTATAAAATAATTTGAACGCACATTTAACCGTCTGTTTCAGCCCATTACGCCGCTATGCCGATACTTGATAACAAGGCGTACCGGAAACAACTCCGTACATGGATTGGTGACCCGGCCTTGACCTTTGACCTTCTGTACAGCGCCTCCAGAGACGGCTGCAGTGGTCAGGCTTTCCATGCGAAGTGCAACAACCAAGGTCCGACTGTTTCTGTTGGTCAGAACAGCGCTGGTTACGTCATAGGGGGATACACGAGCATCGCATGGACATCACGCGGAAGTTATTATAATGATGACCGTGCATTTTTGTTCCAGCTCTTACCAAACATGGTAAAGTTTGCTCGCAGTGGGTACGGAAATGATGTTTATGACATTGCTACACACGGCCCCACGTTTGGAGGTGGGAACGATCTGCTCTTCTTTTACAGTTCAATCAGTAAACATGGTGCTTATTTCAACACAAATGGCAACAGTAACATTGGTTACAGTTATAATGCCAATGGTTACAACACCCCAACATTCACGGGCAACAACAACGCCTATCTCGACATTGAAGTGTACGCTGTAAAACGTAAGTGCCATATTGTTCTCGACAGCTGTATGATAGCCAATGTTTGATTTCATTCCTAGTTTCAAATGATTATTTTCTCATTAATGAGTGAATTATTAGAGAAAGTAAACAAAATTGCGAAGTTTTTAAGTGAGTGTTTGTAAAGTATAAAACGTTGAAACTATTATGTGTGCCATTTTATTCACATTACGCGACAATGAATACCTGGACTTTCTCTCAATATCAAATGATATAAATAGATATGGTACCTTTTAAAGGCCCAACTAATACATGTTTTTCACAACATTAGATATTTCTCTACATGTAATTTATCTCAAATTATCGTTATTATTTTACAGAGGGAAATCTGGAAGATGAATTATGTGAAAAAGATAAACCATGGCGCAAAACTGACATTAACGACTGGAGTAGTAAGGTACTTGTATCTTTTCGACATACCTCAATGAAAAATGTAATAAGTAGTGCTGTGACTTTAAGAAACCTTCATTCTTACTTATTGTTGTAGTATACTCCACCTTTTTTGTGTTAATAAGATAGTTAATTTATTTATCAAATTCCGTAGGAAATTATCTTTACTTTTTTTTGCTTGCTTGTTTGTTTGTTTCTTTTTGAGACAGGCTCAATTATTTATCAAATTTATAGTATCCTTAGCAATATTGACTCTTGTAGACCAAAGATGGCACCACGTAGAGCTCTGCATTCTGCCACCGTGGCGCCACCTACACTTTTGTAATGTTGATTTAGAGAACGATAGCAAGCAGGGACATCCACAAAAAAATTAACATTGGAAAAAAGGGACATTTGGCGGTAATGTGTAGCTGTTTAAATGTTTTTTTTCTCAGACTAAAGACAAACTTTTTGATGAATTGGTGTCGTTCTCCACTCCAAGCCCGGCCAAAGTGCCCGCCGTACGCCTCCTCCTGGTGGGCAGTGTGGGGGCGGGGAAATCCAGCTTCTTTAACACCGTGCGCTCTGTGTGGAAAGGCAAAGTACGCAGCCAAGCGGCGACCGGAACAGCACCTCATAGCCTCACAACCAAGGTATGTACTTGCATGATTATATCATTACCCATTGGTATATAAATGGGATTTTACCAAGAGCAGGCTTCATTGGACTTTGAGATGAAGATATTTACAGTGTGATAAAAATATCAAAATGCGTTTTGAAGGAGAAAATCCAGGCGCAGATTCGCTTCTTTCTTTCTTTATTTCTAAATGCGTGAATTTTGTTAGTCATTCAGTAAAATAAGAATGATGAATACATGAATAACTCTGGAAGGAAAACCGGAGCAAACATGGCGTCAAAGAGGCTATATGGGAACGGGCGGGAAACCCAACACTGAACAAGAAAGGAAGCCTCATTTTAATTGCTCGCACATATGGGTGGGGCATTGGAGACTTCTCCTAGCCGACAATAGATCATTTAATTAGCCATCCAGGTCATTTACAAAGTGAAAGCTATCAACGTTGGTCGGTGGCCTTATTTAAGTTGCAGTGTCAGTTATTTGTTTTTATACATTTCTTGTTGTTGTTGTTCTACTTCTTCTAGTATCGTGTGTATGAGATTCGAGGAGGCCACCAGACACCTGCGTTCCGTCTGTGTGACACCATGGGTCTAGAAGAGGACCAGGGACTAGATGTGGTCGATATGTCCTATGTGCTAGATGGTCACGTGCCGGACCATTTCCAGGTCAGTGATGTATTACTTAGCTCCCGGAGTCGAGAGTCACAGGGAAGACAGACAGGGGAGGCATTCTGGGCCCCGTATGTCGAAAGCATCGCTTATGGCGAGCGGGCGCAAGCATGGAGATTCCTCTCTATCCCATATCTCGAAAGCCTCGCAAATCGCGACCGTGCGCCAATAGCGAAATCACAATTAATTTCGAGGATATTATTTGCGGCGAGTAAAACCCGTCGCAGTGGCCTCTGCGTATGCGTAATTCGTCATTTTAATGTGTCTTTCATGTAATTAAACGTGGCGGCAAGTTTGGGTTGCTGGTGATAATAGCATATAAGAAAACATATAACAAAAACATACAAGCTTATAATAGATTGAATCACTCGATACCTCTGATACATGTAGAAAAACTTCACGTGAAGAATGCTAAAGTCATGTTTTATTATGCATAAAATTTTCAAAATTAAACATTTCATACATCATTTTATATTTTCTGATCAATATTATTCATCTGTGTAGTCTATTGATAATTATCATAAATTTAAAAGTGTCATTTTCTACACAAAATGAAAAAGCAGAAACAAAGCATTTGGTTGCACCGTGACCTTCCTCAATGTCTATTGAGAGACTGAACACTACTCACCAATGTATCAGTAATTGTGTCAGTCCAAGCTTCGCTTATTGAATTGTTTTTGACATTTCATTGGTGTCAAATACTTCAAATATCAGTATTTGTAATTATGATATTCCTATAAATAAAAAACCTCGTGATGAGCGTCATGGTGAAAAAAAATACATTTTGTGTAAATATTTTGTGTTATGACGTCTTCACTTTATGCGGCAATCGAATTTTAGTAGAGTTTGAGATTATAATTGGGTTTGCTAAGGCTTCGAAATACAGGGTAGCAGGTGGGTGCAATCGCACTCGCAAATAGCGTGGAATCGCTATGCTTTTGCCCGCTTGCAAGGAGCGAAACTTTCGAGATACGGGGCCCTGATGGTAAAGAGGCAGGTGTCTAACACCCTGACAGTTAATTGTTATCCCACCCTAAGACTTAAATTATGGGATATGTAACGTAAGGCTATCGAAAATGATTCAGCACTCTTTAAAATTTCCAAATAAATAACAATCAGATGAGAAATATTCATTGTGCTAAATTCATTATTTGATTTGAGTTTAACTAAATGGTTTTGCCTATTTTTTTTTTAACTAAAAGCCTCTTACAGTTTTCGTCAAAAGTAGTAATATAATAAAGTGCAATTAAGTTTATATAAATGATACTTTTTAATCTAATTTATCTCCAGTTTAACCCGGCTGTGCGTATCACACGTAAATCTCCTGGTTTTGTGAAGGACCCTGGTTTGGGTGACGCCATTCACTGCGTAGCACTTGTCATAGATGGCAGTACATACAAGGTCATGCCACCCAAGGTCAAGGACAAATTGCTGGGTATACGAACTCTGGCACGTGACAGAGGTAATGTCTATATTTCTGTGACTGATTTTAAAATTTATTTTATCTTTGTTTTGATATTTAATTACTTGCATGACAGATGTGGCGCAGTGGCGCGATTTCGAATAAGTTTGATACTAATTTTCGAAAGTCGTTCTCTTTTAAAGGGGTGCGATACTGGTACATGTACATGTATATACTTCCTCGTAGTTGTAGGGAAGTGAAATTGGCCTCGTTTGCTTGAACATACCCATTAATTTAGGCAAGTCAAGGGGTGGAAGGGAGAAGTCTCAAGGGTAACATATCTGAGCCTCGCCTCACTCAGTATGTGTGCCAGTAGACCTTGTGCACTATTCTGTTGGGGTCTTGTTCCTGCGAAGTGCAGGATCCTATAGGAAATCTTATAGGATCCTATAGAAAATCCTATAGGATCCTATAGGAAATCTTATAGGATCCTATAGGAAATCTTATAGGATCCTATAG